ATGATCCTGTGGAAGCTGATGCTTTTTGCACGGTAAACTTAAAAAAAGTTAATTGTCTGACAAGCAAAAGAGCAAGAGTGAACATCACTCTCTAGAACTCCCTACCCACCCTAGATGGCTAAGATCTGTCCTCCTGGCAGGGAAGCAACTGGGTTCCCAGCTCTGTTACAAACATCAGTTCCCCATGAGAACTGATAATGAGATAGCGAAGTTCTGCAGAACCAGCAGGCCTAAAAAAAAGGCAAAGACAGCAGAAAGTGCCCACCATTTGCAGAGGACATGCAATGGATTTTAAACATGTGTCCCCAGAGCAGGATGTCAAAGCTCCTCTCATTACACCCTATGAAATTGGCTTAACCTTCAGAAATGCTCCTGACTGGGACTTTGATGTGCTCGGTTCCTTTGAAAACGAGGAGGGATGCTTAACTGGCAAAAATTAATTAGATCTCTTTATTAATCAGATAACCTGACCCAAAATGCAGGTATAATCAAGCTCCATATATTAATTTCAGACATTTCTAGAAAAAAATTTACTTGGATTAGAGATAAATTTTGTTAGGTGATATCCCACACATCCAGCTCACGTTTATTTTCCACCTGAATGCTTCCTATTAGCTGACAAACATCTTAATCATTTTGCCCAAATCTACTGGAAATAAAGGAAGTGTAAAATAAAAACAAACCAGTTGCATATCTAATTCAGCATTTTGCCAAAAATGTTATACCCTTCAGAAGAAAGCTCACGTAGTCATCTGACTATATAAAGGTACCATAAATGTACACAGCTTCCTAATCTTTTCACTTGAGCATTCCCCTGAGATGAAAGAATTAATAGTCCTTGTAATTACCCGGGCAGAAAATGTAACAGCAGATGTCTATCTCCACTAATTGTCTACAGCTCCTAGAAATCTACAAAATTATTTATCTCGCTAAGATTCTTTGCTATGAGTTCCATAGATTAATTATCCACTACACTAAGTATGATTACCCCTTCTTGACCCGAGCGGTGAGCAGTAATTGAGGGTCCGAAGGTGCTGGTGGTGTCACTAAGAGGAAAAAAATATTAAATAATCAGCCATTTCTTTGATGTAATCCTGTTTGTCCACAAAGAATGTCCAAACTCTTATTTCTCTGAGAATAAGAGGAATTAGACACATGTAGGCTATTTTTTTTTTTCTTTTGTTAGCAGCAAACCTGAATAGCTTTCCTTTCTGCCTTGTTTCATTTTGTCGTACTCCGCCTTCCCAAAGCCATACTGGTCACGAGGTCAGTATTGTCTCATATTTTGCTCTGAGCCTGTGATTAGGTCGTACATCTTTTGTCTCAAGTAGTTGGTTCCTCTGAGGAACTTGGCTGCTTTTCATGGTCTTAACCTGGACAGAAAGCAATCATCACACGCACCAACATAACCATATCACAGCAGTTCTAGTTGCCTTTTTAAATGTTTTCAACTTCCAGAGCATGTTTTTATTCTGTATTAAATAGAAATGTGCTCTCTTACTTTCTGAAATGTTTTTTTGCCCTATTCTTTCCTTCCCAAATAGGGTCACCTCATCTTTTAGACTTCTTTCCTCCAATGAAACCTCATCAGTGATTTTTACCTATGCTACCTTTGTGACACTTGTAGGTATCTTCTTTTTGAGAAGAGGAAAACTGAATGAACCCACCATTTAAAGAGAGAATATGGTATCCCTATATAGCCAACTATTACTATTTTTTCTTTTCTCTCCTCTTTATACTGTCTCCTAGACTATTTGCTTTTTGCATTTTCATTGAAGGTTTAGCTGTGATCCTATAACATAGCATACAATAATAAATGATTATTCTGTAATAACTCTCTCACAGTCTTTTATCTTCTCCACATCTTCCAGAAGTCCTCCTCACAACTCAAGTATCTTCTTACTCTTACTACTGCAGTTTCTTCTCCACACACTTCAGCGCTTGTTGTTGCAGGAGCTAATTCCCAACACACTGCTATAACTGGAGACACAGGGAGCAAATAACTGAACTGGTTCCATGATGCGTATCACCCAGCATGGGCATATGCTGGGAAAGTGCTTCCCTCATCATCATTTGGGACATACAACAAAACTGACAGGGTTAAATTAGCCATTCCTCCTGTCTGTCGTACAGCTACAGAAGCATGACACCAGAACCGTGCAGAATTTACTCAGCCACAGCAGGATATGGCTACGTGATATGGAATCTCACACTAAATGCTACCACCCTATGTATGAGACACAGATGTTTCAGGAAACCACAAACTTTTGTGGCTTTATTATCAGAATGATGATGGAGAACACTTAACATTTCTACCTTTTATGAACAGGAACTATGGCTGTTCAACACTGGACAACATTAACCTTACCCATAGAGATGATAAGGAACTCTACGTGCGTTTGAAGAGCAGAAGATATATGGCATGGTTCACCTTTCAGTGACCACATTTCTCTCAGCCTGAACTGTATTTACAATCTTTCAGTTCATAAAATTAACTCGAGTTATATCTTGTCTATCCAAGTGTTTTAATATTAAAATATTGTAAATTATCAACGACTGTGTGTCTGTCCCTCTTCTGGAGACAGAAAGTATTGTCTTTAGCAGTATCATTAATGAGACAATGTTTAATATAATGTGCATGTCAATAAAGTTGACATCCATCAGCTAATAATGGTTTCCTTTTAAGGAAGAAAAAGTGAGATTTAGGATCTCAGCTGAGATGTGGAATCCAATGGTTCAAGTCCCTGGTCTGTTAATTATCATTTTTTTCCTAATCTGACAACTGCAAGTTACTAGGGTTTACACATGGAAACCCAAGATTGTTGACTTTGAAGAAATGACTAAAAAGAAGCTCCTGTACACAAGGCAATATCAAGGCAAGTGCTGAAGATTCAGATTTTCTAAACAGCAACCCTTGGTTTGCCTCGTGGGACGTTTTTGTATCCTTCACATCCCAGCTGTTTCTATATCCACTTTGTTTCTATACGACACCCGACTCCCTGAGCAGTACTCTCCCAAAATCAGATAAACCGATCTTTTCAGAGCCCAGTTTTCCAGGCTCCGCAGGGTAATTTTATTTTCATGCAACCTCCTACGACTCGCACCGAGTCAACTAACACGGCGCACGATCGGGATAGACCGGGTGGTTGGCATTTAGAGAGCAGAGCGAAGCCACGATCCGTGCTGGGGGATGCGCCCCACCACCCCCCCCGCGCCCCCCGGTCCCGGCGGCGGGACCGGCGGGGGAAGGGGCGGCCGCGGCGGGCTGAGCCCCGAGGGACCGGGTGGGGTGGGGTCGGGTGGGGTTGCCCCCCACGCCCCCGCCTTCACCGGGGGAGGCGAGGGGGGGGGGGCAAACTCAGAGCCCGTCTCAAGCGCAAAGCCCTGGGGGAACCGTCCAAATAGCGGGGTCTGAAAGGAGAAACGCTCCTCTTTCAGGCGAGGGGGGAGTTTTGTTCTGTGGTACTATAATTAACGCAGAATTTGCAGTAAAATCGGTGGGCATTAGGGCCAAAAAAAAAAAAAAAAAAAAAAGAGTAACAGCTGCGGCGGTAGCTACAGCGGAGCTAGGGCACACGCTGAGGACCTGCTGCTTTTCATGACTTGGTGTTAATTTATTTAATTTGCACTGTAGGCTTGGCCATAATGCAAGCTGTCCATCTTGCACTTACGGACAGACAGAAGAGGTTACCAGTCCTTTCTGGCAGAAATTAAACACAGAACTTGGACTAATTTTCAAGCCCCGTCCTAAAAACAAGTACCATGGAAAACAAGGGCTCCAGAGAGTACTGTACGGAATAACGCCAAAGCGCAGAGCCGCTTCCGAAGGATCCTGACAATCCGGGAATCAGTGACCAAAGATACCACCGTCAGGAGTCAAAATCTTGGTTTCGACCCCCACAGTTTTTCTGGCTTCGGAATATTTAAACTGACCCGAATTCCCTCTTCCACCCCCCTCCCCTAACCCCCTCAGCTCCCCCAAATTTTTCTGGACGGGTCCTGCACCAGCCCGGACCGGAGGGCTGCCACGGTTCTAGCGCTGTCAGCAAGCTCTCCTCCGCGATTAACGGAGGGGACGCCGAAGATCTCCAGCCCCGCTCAGAAAGCACCGGCAGCTCTGTCAAATTTCACCGCGGGGATTCTGCGAGCCCGGGGTGCGCCCGGACCGGAGCTGCGGCGGCTGCCCACCCGCCCTCCCCTCCCCTCCGCCCCCCACGGAGCCGCCCGGTCCGTACCCCCTTTCCCACACACAACCCCCCCCCCCCTTCCCCGCCCCGTAACCTGTTGCCGCGGCTCCGCCAGCCCGACACGCCGAACACCGACGGACGGTTAGGGGAAGAACAGAAAAAGCGACCGGGCGCAAACCACGCGTGGGGCGCCCGTCGCGCGGAAACGCTGCCCACCCGCCACGAGAACATCGAGCACAACCCTCTCCCCGCACGCGCGGCCCCCCACAAACACATGCAACGGCCCCGGGCCGAGCTTTGCGTAGAGGAGAAACTCCCCCCGCCGGGAAAACCTTGCTGGAACGGAGGTGCGGGGGGGGGGGGGGGGGGGGGGGGGGGGGGGCAACCGAGCCGTCGGCGGGGGGAAAAGGGGCCGGTGTCCGGCGGTGCAGCTCCAGCCGACGGCGGGGTTCTTCTCCCCTCGGCGCAAATCAACGCTCCCCGTCCCCACGCCCGCACCCCCCACGTTTCCCCCGTCGCTCCCGGGGCGCTGGCCCCCTTCCCCACGCCCACCCAGGCGGCGGCTCGGCGGTGCCGGCGCTTCCCTCGCTGCTGCTTCCCGGGAGCCTCGGGCGGGCTGCGAAAGGGAGAGGATTTTAAAGAGTGGATGTGTGACTGCTCCCCCATCCTCCCCCCCTTTCTTCTTTCCGCCCCCTCCGCACGCAAGGAAGGCGAAGGAAAAAGTTGCGCTCTCCGGCCGCCCACGCCGGCGCTGCCCGTCCCACGGCGGCAGGACGAGCCCGGGCGGGGGGGCGGCGGGGCCGGGGCCGGTACCTGTGCCGCCGATTCCCTGCCGGGCGGTCTCCAGGGGGAAGATGCCGGCGCACTTCTCCCGTTCCACCTGCCCGCCCAGGCAGAGCTCGGAGATGATCTGCAGCGCTTTGTGGCAGAGGCTGCCCACGCCGTCCTCCGCGGGGAAACTCATCTTCGGGGGCCGGCCGCTCCGCTAGGCCATGGCCGGCGCGGGACGGCTCCGCGCCCCCGACCCGCGCAACCTCCCGCGGGGAGCGGAGCGGCGGCGGGAGCGGCGGGCGCGGCGCGAGTGAACCGAAGAAGTAGTGAAAGAGGAAGGGGGGGGGGGGGGGGGGGGGGGAGGGAGAGATTAAAAAAAGGGGGGGGGGAGGGAAAAAAAAATAAAAGGGGGGGGGGGGGAATAAGCATCCACTTAGCAACGCCTTTTGTGCCTAGCGGGCTTCGGTAGGCGGCTCGGCCAATGGCAGCCCGGCGCGGGGGGGCGCAAGTGGCGGGGGGGCTCCTCACGTCCCCCCGGGGAAAGTTTTCCTTCCCCCGACCCACGGGCGGGACGCGTCCCGGGGTGACGGCCCCGGTGGGAGCGCGGCGGGGCGGGCGGCGGCCTCGGTTGCGCGGGGACGAGCGGGGTTTGCGCTGGTGCCGGCGGGCGGGGTCCTGCCCCACCCCCCCCCCCACCTCCCCACGGCGGGACCCCCGCGGAGTCCCGGTGCGCTTCGTGGGGGGCTCCTCGGGCGCTCGTGGCGGCGGAAGGACGGAGCGGGGTTCGCTCCCCACCGCGCCGGTCGGTTTTCCCGGAACGTTATTTCTTCGGTGACCCGGGCAGTGTAATCTCCAGTCCGGTCTACCGAGCAACGTTAGCTAACTTCATTAACCAAATCACCGTCTCCACTCCACTTTCCAGCAGCAGAGCTACAGGATAGGTGACTTTGGCTATTTCTTTAACTTGTAAAGGAGTTAGAGTAACCTTACGACTGTCCGGTCTGTTCCCTCAACAAGTTCTGTAAAGTTGGGTTTCTTTACAGGTAAAAAAGTTCCAGGTACTGCGTGTGCTTGAACATACTTCTAAAAATCAGTGCAGCATATACTGCTGGTGCTGGCTTCAGTTATAGGCTGCATAGCCGAACAAGACTTAGGCTGTTAATTCGTTCACATACTTACTGAAATTCTGATACACTTTTATATTTGTGAAGAAAATGGCTTCTACTTCGATGGCATATGGGTGTCTTTCAATACTTAATTCTAATTAGGCATAGTTGAAAGGAAGTCTGTTAGCAGTTTGCTTAACAGCACTGCCTGTAGTCTGCTGCTAGGGCGTCTTGGTTTCATAAGCATGAGAGGTTAACTTGTGTACTGCTGCGCTTTTTTTCCCCTCCAGATTTCAGTTTTTTAATCTGTTACCTAAACATTAATAACTCTCTTTAGCTAACTGCAAAGTTTAACATTTCAAAACTTTAGAACCATCAATCAACAACTGTAAATTATGAAAGAATACAAAAATGTGTATTCCAGTTTTAAGTCTGAAATTCTGCACTTTACATAGTACAGATACTTGTAGAAGTCACAAGATGATACTTCTAAAAATCAGCCACTTGGCATTTTGAAGGCTTATGCATTTATGCATACGAATTCATACACATGTATTTTTCAAAATCTTAGGGAAGTAATAGACTCTGTTGTTTACAAACTGTAACATCAACAGAAATTCTGATCCATAAAGCTTCCTCACAGATATGGCAGGTATTTCAGAAATATCAGATGTTACTAAAGAAATAATTTCCTGTTCAGTGCAATTCCTGGGACTAGCGTTGTCAAAACTCTGTGTTATTTCTGCAGAATGTTCTGACAAATCCTAGAATGTTTAGACTATAACTAGTCAGGGCACAGAACTGTGTAGTACTGTTTGAAGACTCATTTAACCCTCATAGGGACCTAAATCTGTAAAATGATCTCAAGAAAAGAAGCTTACCAGCAATAAAAAGGTATGTACATATTTTCATTGCAGTGAAGGCAACTGATGTCTACTTCCAAACTTCAAAATATGAACATATTTACTGTTCATGTGACATTTACAGTCCTGTTCCCAAAATTCTGTCATGCACTACCAACTAATAATTAGACAGTCTGTTTATCTTTGAGACATATTCAGAACTCTAGCAGAAGCTAACAGGAGATACATACACAGACTGATGAAGGAAGGGTCTTAAACAGAAATTGGATTTAACAAGGGTAAGGACTGCATTTAAAGGCTGAAACCTAACCAGTTCTGTTTCCAAATCTTTCTACAGACTGTCTTTGTGCCCATGGATGTATCATGCAGTCCATGAGAGAAATTTTTTGCCTCTGAAGTTACTGGCAGTTTTGCCATTGATTATAATAGAGTCAAAGTTGCACACACAGATCAGTTTGCCACCCTGCTTGTTTACTTATGTAGTGAGACTTTGGCACATTCTTACATTGTTCCCCTTTGCACACAAGAACTTCATTTCAGTGAAGACCATGCCATCTTATTACTGTTGGTAGTATTGATAGGTACGTAGATACAGAAAAGCTCAAACAGGTATATTCAACATTAGTAATTAAAAAACAAAATATATTGAAGACTGATTTTTTCAGGTAGGTGTCTGGAAACAGATACCCAACTGGTACCTCTCTTAGCTGTCCTAAGTACTTTAAAAAATGTTCTTAGGTACACAGAAAATACCAGCCACAGTAAGTAGTGTCACTGTATATTTATCAAATGCATCACCATATACATCTCGTTCTTCAGTAAAAAGCATGGACATAAATTTTAATTAATCAACAGAATAGTTTTTCTCAGCCTGAGTACTATGAATTGGGTTTCACTAGGAGATTAATGATTCTGCTGGTGAGATACATTGACAGTCTTGTCCTAAACGAGATCCAGACATATCTTTTGTTGTTTGGATCAAGTTATTGGTGAAGGAAATTCTTCACTTCTGTATTGAGGAGTTTAGTCTGACATGTGAATTCAGATTAGGAATCATAACATTTTTCTCCAATGTGTTCTTTCAGTGGAAAACTACTTTTTCTGCATATGAAAGGACAGAAAAGCTTGTTTTCTAGCTTCAGCTCCCACTGCTTGGATTTTCAATAGCCTGGCAGTTTTTTAAATGAATATGTAGTTTCATGGTGTGCCCTTATATCCAAAAAGACCAGTTATTTTATTTACCATTCGGAAGTGCTCTCAGGCTGTCTCACCACATATGGTTTGTTAGGACACAGTGGACTCATGCCTCATGGGTTCCAGCTGCTGGGGTCACACCAGACCTCATCCTCTCTTGCTATGCTGACTGCTGGTCATTACCAAGCTCATTCTGGCTTGATTGCTTTCTGTTGATTGATGACGACTAAGGGAGAAAATTTCATTTTTTCATGTTAATTGCATGTATTCACATCCTCATATTTTCTATGTGATATCCAACTAGTGGTTAGGTACTATGTTTTGGACAGGAAAAACATGGGATAAATACCCAGTGTAGTAAGATGTATCCTTTAACAAACACTGTATTAGGATTTTTGAAGTTTAGTCAATATGGGTAGCCTAAAGGAAGATAAGGTTCAGGTGTCTTTCAGAGTTAAGCTGCACAAATTATCTCATGTAAATGAGTGAAGGCCTAGTAACTTGCAAAGGAAGATTGGGCTGGTCTAGTGAGTCAAAAGTACTCTCTCTGCTGCAGATGATGATAAACAGGTGTAAGAATAGCCATAATGTATACTCCATAGTTCATAGCTTTTGCCCACTTTCTGGATTTCTGTCTGAAATTCAGTTTGAGTGGCAGTATACAATGCCAAAGACGTCTGCGACAGAAAGTAGTCTCCGACTGCATTTGTAGCCATGCTTGCAAGCAGAGTTTGGCTCTGAGCGTACTGCCGGGCATGGTCAAACGGAGGCTTTGTAGGTACACCCAGGAAAAACTGTGATTCAGTGTTGACTTGTGCAGTCTTCAACAGCTCCCTCCTTTGCTTCTTGTATATCATGCCTGTTCACTTTTTGCATAAGGGCTTACTCTGTATTTTTAACATGATGGCACTCGGGTCTTATGTGGAACCTTCAAGTATTTCTGTATCTTTTTACATCAGCTGAGAGTTTGGCCTTGGTGTTTTGATTTAGAATTAAATAAGGATACCAAAACAGCAACCGAGTTGGGTGAAAAGAAACATTACATCATTCAGCTTTTAAGAAGCTATGAGTAGAAGAAGAAAGTGAAAACACAGGTTACAAATACAGTTTTTGTTTGCAACAGAGTTCCAAATGCATTTTTTCTTGATAGCATCTCCTTAACCTTAAAATCCCTTTTAAACAGCAAAATAAATCTTGAAACATTAAAGATTGCTTTACTCTAGCTGCATATTTTAACCCTCTAATTTTGAGTAAGAAGTGCCTTTCACTCATATTGTATAAAAAATTTAAAAAAGAGCTGTCTGACAGGCATTATTACAGTTATACAGCAATCCAGGAGACAGTCAAAGCGGAACATTCCTAACCTGCAAATTAGAGAGGAAGGGTGCCACGAGCTATGTAAAGGTGCCCGTAATAACAGACTGAAACATTATGTCAGCTGGATACGGGAATGCTGCTATTCTTTGCATCCTAATTGAATGAAGATGAGGTCATTTTGGTTAGAATTGGGCCTCCGCTCATGAGGTGAAAAGCTAGCACGGAAATCCAGCACATGAAATCACACCCTTCCTTCTTGTGACATGAAAAGGGGACCGCTTGGCATCGTTTTGTCATCAGACCAAATATTGAATAGGCTGGGAGAGAGCTTCCAGCTTTCTGAATATTCAGAACGGCCTCCTTGGAAGGGGACTGAGGCCTTGTGCCTACAGCACTGAAGGGCCACAGTGTGCGTTCCTGTTTCCTGACAGCCTTCAGGCTGTCCCCTTGACTTTGAGAGACCCTCACTTTCTCTGAGTTACAAACGATAACGTGAGGACAGTAAGTCTTTCTGGTATTCTTTATTTTTCTTGCTTACATTATGTTTGAACACTTATGAAGACAAACCCTATATCAGTTTTAGAAGTAATAAAAGTTTAAATTTCCTTTTTTTCTACCATTCTTCTCAATTTGCTCTTCTCATACTTTCATAGTACCTGTACAGTGGAGCCCTCATCTGGGTTGATTTTTCCAACTTCTAATTCACTATGAATAAAAGCCATAATCATAAAGAGACAAACCTCCCCCATTTGGTCCAAACAGATGCTTCCTTGGTTTTCAGAAATGCTGAGCAACCATTACTTTTTTTTTTTTTTCCACTTAATTTGGTGTAG